TTATTTTTTCTATCCTAGTTCTTTTTTCCGTCACGTCATCCTGTTATAAACCTTCTCCGCTGCCAGAGAACCCAGTAAATGTCAGAACACTGCTGGGCTCTTTTTGTTTCGGACTACTTTATTGCCGTCCGTGGATAAATCAGGGTAAACTAAAGACACAGAGCAAAGGTGTGTGTGTATTTGTGCTAGATGGCGGGCGCCTCATCCATTTTCAACATCCTGTCCTTCTTAGAAATGGAAAGACGATCCTTTGTTGGAGTGGTTTGAAAGAATATAAGTCCCGATAAGGATGAAAGTAGGTCTGGAATGTTGAAATAAACTCCTTTTGGCATGGCTTGATAGCTAATAGACCAAAATCACTTTTTTCATGTTTGGAAACTTCACAGCACCACTGTTAAACGCAGTGTTTTCTTTAATAACTCAGTTGGACCGAATGAGGAAACTGATATGGCCAGAACGCATGTGCTGCAAAACACAGATAATTTTTTTTTAATACCTCCTGAGAGTCCCTTAAACTTTATGACTGTTAGTGTTTCTTAGTGGGAAGGTCAGTCATTTTAATTAACTGCTTCAAAATACTATTTAAAAAAAATCCACAAAAAGCTAGCTATTTCAGCCGGAAAATATAAAATAAAAACTAGAGAAATTGCATTTCCTGCTAAAATGCAGTGTGAATGCTTATTGCTGAAGAACTTGTTTAAAAACTGCTGAAATTAGCTAAAAAGAATGCTGAAATGTAGATGAAATGAAAGAACAAGCCCAAATTAGCAGAAGAAAGCAGAAAGAACACATATTTGCTGAATTAGGTTCAAATAAGCAGAAACAAGCACAAATATGAGGAAATCAGCTAAAAAAAAAAATAAAAAAAAATGCTAAAATTAGCAACAACAAAAAAAAACATACAGTAATTGCCAGTCTATAGATCACACCTGACGGTAAGCCCTGTATATTAAATTCAAGATACATCCATAAAATAATTTTGTACATAAATAAGATGCCGTGTTTAAGCCGTGGGTGTCCAGTTTCAGTATCAGAATGTGTAGGGGAGTGGTGGCGCAGAGGTTAGAAGATGGGCTTGTGATCGGAAAGTCGCAGGTTCAGCTCCCGGTACTGTCAACATCAAAATGTGGGTGGAAAAGGTGAAACACCCACACCTCCCTCCACCCTCATTCGCCCCACTCTGGACCCCTGAGCAAGGCCCTTAACACCCACCATCTGCTCCCTAAATGGGTCTCTCTCGAAAATGAGTTCTCATGGCTCAATGAGACTACCTATATAAATAAAGGGTCAATAGAAAAAAAAAAGAATTGTACCCAGCTCCAATCAGTATGTGCTGCTCTTCTTGTAGTACAAGAATCAGCCACCAGATGGTGTTTCATAGATTATGGCTTGGTGGTCATCATAAATCTTCATGATGCTTTGCTGTCTGACTCATGGTTAAAACCTTTCAACCTATAGAATGAATGAGATACTGGTATTTAAACACATATTTACCATACACAGAAAGATTTTTTATTTGCCATTCGCATCTCATGTGGTACATGTGGTGGAACGAGATTATGTACGCAGGGTCCCAGGTACATCCAACAATAAAATGTAAAAGAAAAACAGTAATAAGATCTAAGATATGAACTAAGAAAAACATCAGCTAAAAATATGCTAAGCACTAATAGCATAAAAACATTACATCGAACAGCAGCACGAACATGAGGCTGTGTAAGCAGATGAGCACGCATGAACACCAAACATGAAACAGAGCAGCAGCAATATGATGTGATTTTTCACAGTAATTATTCTGGTTAGAGATTCATGAGTCTAACAGCCTCAGGTTAGAAGCTGTTCCTCAGTCTGTTCCTCAGGTTCTGCACTTAATGCTCCTTAACCTCCTTCCTGAGGGGAGCGGGGCAAAAAGTGTGTGTGCTGGGTGAGTGGGGTCCTTCCTGATGCAGGTGGCCCTCTTCCTGCATCTGGAGGTGTAAGTGTCTGTGATGGTGGGGAGACTGACTCCAATAGACTTCTGTGCAGTCTTCACCACTCTCTTCACCACCCCCTCTAAACAGTATGCTAAAAGATCTAAGATATACGCTAAACACTAATATGTAAAGTAATAATATGGTATATTAAACAGCAGACCAAACATGAGTCTGTAGTGAATAGATGGGTATGAATTAATACAGCAGCTGGAAGCATGAAAGCTGCAGCATAAGAAATTATTTGTGTTTTCCATTATCACTGAACAAATGAACAAGTCCGTGCCTGTGGCGCAAAATATGGTAACTGATCTGAAGAATATAGTGCAAGTGCATTACATTTACAGTAGCTAGTAATCAGAAGTTTCATTGTTCCACTGTGACCTGTCCGGTAATTTCATTGTTCAAATTTTTTTCACCTTTGCTTACTGTAAACAGGTAGCCTCATTAATGCACGTCTATCTTGGGAGATTGGTCCTCGTAACTCACTGACAGTACCTTATTGGTCATTAAGGTTAGACTTCTGGTCACATGATGACAGAGTGGGTGGAATTATAGGTAGGAAAATTGAAACCATGAGTAAGAGGTTTGGTACATGTGATTACCATTACCATGACACATTCTGTCACAAAAAGTGGGTGTTGGGCAGCTACATGAGCACCCAGCTCTGTCAAAGGAAAATGCTAGAAAGCTGCCAAGAGACACCAGGAAGCCTGTCAAAATGAAATATAAAAACAAAAAAATATTACTATTAAAATCTGTACTTCAAAGTACGGATCCCCCATGATAAACAAGGGACAGATCACCCGTAATAAACAAGGGACAACTGTTTATATATATTCTTTTTAAATATACAATAATCCCTCATTTATTGTGGGGGGTTCCATCCTCAGCCTCCCCACAATAAGTGGAAAACTGCAAAGTATGAACAGTAGTACAAGTAGTAAGTACTAGTTTATTTTAGTATTTATATAGACATATATATTAAGGTGTTTCAAACCCTTCCCACAGTCTTGCAATATTCTAAACAATGTTTCTAAACTCTAAACGCTCTAAAAAAGCACAGAATGTCATGATTTCAGTTCTCTGCCTCCGGCTCCACTCTCGACCACACCCACTTCTCTGCTCTGCATGGAGATCAGCTGCAGGAAGAAGCTTCTCCCACAGCTGTGGGCTGCACACAGGTGTTAAATCATTTAAAATAATTTATCTTAAATAAAAAATTCATGCAGATCGTGTGACTTATACATCAATCAGCCATTGTGTGTCATGTTTGTTTTTCCTCACTTGCTCTCGTGCAAGGCGGATTCATTTTCCTCCTCCTGCTCTCCTGTCCTCCTCCTTCTATTGCTATTTATTTATTTCAGGATATGTCATGGCTCTGTGGGGAGTTTGGGAGCTGATGTGCCTTTCTGTATTGTCTCAGGAGGACGCCGAAGATGTTTATATAATTAGAACCGTGATAGCAGGGTTTTTGCTTTTTGGCATCAGCAAAATCCTATGTTATCGGCTATTGAGGAAGATGACGGCAGCAGTTTCGGCCATGGTAAAACTTGTGAGTCTGTGTGAAAGTTTAGTTCATGCTTCGAGTACTCAAAATCAGCTGATTTACGAGCTAAACTGTCAGATGGAAGCAATTTATGAGAATCGCAGGCCACTTACAGCTTCTGGGACTCGCCAGCATGTTGGGGATGAGCTTGGAGGGGACTCATGAGAATGAACCAGTGGAATGCCCACAAATCTGGCCATTTTGGCTCGAAAATACCAGCGGGACTCAAGGATGACAAGAAACAAGTCTGTCTGAAAAAGGTCAACAATTGTGGCTTATCTGAATCTGACTTACCCGTTTGGCCTTGAAAGCAGGCCAACATCAAAGTTCTCCTGGGATATGTGTAAACTAAGGAAAAGCTATGTCTACCCCCCCCCCCCCCCCCCATAAGGACAATGTGTGAATAGATCTTTTTTGTAATACCACTATCCTCTCCTCCTATCGTTTCTTTTTATGTGCTGAAACGTTTCACCTTCCATCCAGAAGGCTGTCCAGATGACCTGACTGAAAATTGTTGGCTTGTATACCTGGATTATTGAGCATGGACTTTGTTGTTTTGAACCAGTTTGACATGACTGTAGACGAGGGAGAAGCCCAGCACCGAAGGAGTAGGAGTGCCCCAGAGACTATCTTAGCACCAACATAACTGTTTTTTTCCACTTTGGAGTAAGCTGTTGGGGGAAAAATCAGTTCTGCGTTACGCGTTTCCTTAGACTGATGAAGGCTTCTGGATGGAAAGTGAAAAGTTTCAGCACAACAAAAAAGAAACTGTCCAGATGACCTGACTGAAAATTGTTGGATAATCTCACTGTATTTCGGTACAATGATAATAAAGCTTATTCTGATTCTGATGTCCAATCTTATTTTGAAAAACCACGGTAGAGCAAGTCCGCGAAAACCGATTGCAAAGTAGCAAGGGACTACTGTATATTTATATATAAGTGGGATGTCGTGGCGCAAAGTTTAGAGAAGGTGGGCCTGTGATCGGAAGATTGCCGGTTCAACTCCTGGGACCGACAACATGAAAATGTGGGTGGGAAAGGTGAAACATCCACACCTGCCTCCACCCTCATTTGCCCCACTCTGGGCCCCTGAGCAAGGTCCTTAACCCCCACCATCTGCTCCCCTGGGCACCCTAGATGGCAGCTCTCTGCTCCACACAAAGAGCTGTGGTAGTTCAGTGGTCTGTGGTTGCATCAGGAAGGGCATCTTGTGTAAAAATTATTGCCAAGTCTTCGTGCAACTTAATTCGCTGTGGCGACCCCTGAAGAAGGGAGCAGCCGAAAGGGGGGAAAAAAATTATATAAACAACAAAAATGTGTGTGCTGATTTAAGGTCTTCTGAAGGATAACCTAGACAGAACTAATTCCTTGGATACATTTTTGGTCCCACTATCAGTTTCTAAACTGAGATGAAGTGGTAACTACATTATTCAGCTGCTAAAGTTTCGTTAAGGAAATCTACTTCCCTTGTTTTCACAGAATTCCTTCTCCAGTGTCTTTCACATGGAATACGATGAGCTGACTGAAGTCCTCGATGCCCCCAAAAGGTAAGAGGATCTCCCTCAATTGAAGGCTCTCGTTAAATTAGAATATCCACAGATTGGCTTTGTGGCTTCATCCAGCAGCTTCCACTGGTTATTACTGCTAATGTTTTCAAACTGGCCTTTTCCTTCAGAGGCCTTTAGATTATGTTTTTTAAACAGGCAAGGATTTATCATCATCACATGGAGGGAGTAAAGAAAATAGCATGGGGCTGCAGCTTGGAGGGGATGGGTGCAGGGGTGCCACTATTTTCTGATCTACCTTCATCAGATGGTCTTAGAGCCTCCACACAGGAACATTTTTGTCAATATGCATTTTTTTATTTAATTTTTTCAAATGTCAGCTTTGCTTGTAACCATTTTAGAATCTACAAAATAATATTTTTTCTTTGTGGTTGTAAATTATAAACTGTTCTATCACTCTTACTGTGACTCAGGTGTCAAATCCAACAACAAAAGGGGGTCAAAATTAAAACCTTTTTCAAACTAAAGGCTGGTTTCAGAATCTACATTGTCAAGTTAGATACCCAACATCTTTTCTCGGTGGCAGGTTCCTCAACAAGAGTTTGATTGGTCTAATTTGATGTTCTCTGTTGCATTTTTGACATCATAATAAATGGTTACTGAAAAAAATTAAAGTGATAAAAGTATTTTACATTGAAAATAACATCTTGGGGGCCAGATAAGATGTTAAGGAGGGCCACATTTGGCCCCTGGGCCTCGAGTTTTGACACATATACTGTGACTGGTCAGTGAGCACCAGAAAGAACTACAGTAATTTGATTATTCTCAAGGTGGTGATGTGTCTTTAAGCAGAGACCTTGACTCAGATCCACTCCTTCCTTGTCTGAGTAGACCTTTCTACGACGGCTCAAAATGGAGGGGAGGGATTGAGGGCTGGAGCTTATGCCCCTTTTCCACTGTCACAGTGCGGATCAGATCAGTTCGGGTCGGTTCAGATCGGCTCGGGTCTGTTGTGTTTCCATGTACATTTCTGGACCAACTCTGTAGGCGGGGACTAGAATCCAACTCGTCTTACCACCTGGTGGCGGTAGTGCTCCCTTAAGCTACTTACTATCCACCACTAAACGTATTAGAAGAAGAACACCCTGAAGGTTTTGTCACACGATGTTGTGGAAGAGATGTCATGCTCTAATGGAGTACCTCATGAGCTGTAACTTTTAAACCTGATTCATAATCCTACCTTACTGCCTTCCCTACCTGCTTTAAACCCATGTGTTTTTCATTTTAGTATAGATTTTTACAATAAAGTTGTATTAAAAATATCTTCACTTTTAGTATTTACAGATATGCACAAGGTTCATGTTAAAATTGCAAAACATCACACTGTGCTGTAATGTTTGAAACTGCTTTTACAATAAGATACAGACTTGAAAACAATTAGATTAAATTTTGTCCTTGAATTTTAAAGATTTGTCTTTCATTAAATTTAAAAACATAAATTTATTACTTATTAATCTAAAAAAGTTAAGTCTGGTCCTCTGGATATTCAAAAAACAAAACAAACAAAAAACATTTATTGTTTATTTATTATAAACTGTATTGTTTGTTTTGTGAATGTCCAGAGGACCAGCCTTAACTTTTTAGATTTTTCTACCTGGATTATTGAGCAGCATCAGGATATTACTTAATAAATAGTCAGTTGGTCTGTGAACACCATGGGGTCCTAGAAGAGTTGAAGAGGTGGCTGTTGATGTCTGTGCCTCCCTGGTGAAGCTGCTGCTCCCACAACCCTGAAGCAGAAGATGATGGATGGATGGATGGATGGACGGATGGACGGATGGATGGATGGATGGATGGATGGATGGATGGATGGATGGATGGATGGATGGATGACGAAGGAGGAGACCATCCAACACAGCAGGAGTGGTCAGTTCAGGTGAACTCCTGCCTGTTTGCTTCAGATCAGCTGTTCAAATCTCTGCAGGTTCAAATAAAAGGTGCACCAGGACTTTCAGCTGAATCTCTCGGGCCACAGTTGTAAAGGCCGATGACTGATAAATGATAACTGTTTTTTCTGAATTTTTTACTGTTTTTGTCTCACTTCATCCTAGAACCAAAAAATGTATAACATAATAACAGTTGAGCAGATTCTAGTAATCTTTTCTTAGGATCCATTAAAGATCAAATGCAATTGGAACTTCTTCTCAACTTCCAGTAAGAATTTAAACAAACACTATATGAACTTAACATTGTAAAATTTGTTTAGGAAATTTAATGTTCAAGGACACCACTTAAGAAAAAAATTGTTTAATAGGAAAAGTAAGAAGTAAAAAATATACAAAAATAAAAAATACTGCATCCAACTAATGATTGTGTATCTGTCTGTCCCTTGTCTCACGGGCTTCATCCAGAAGAAGACACAAGTGTTGTTCCTGCTGTGTCCGCTTCAGTTCTTCATGTTCATTCAGTGATGGAATAAGACTTTTCTTTACTGGACTCTTTTCTCTTTCTCTTCACTAGAAAGAAGAAAAAGTTGGTTAATTCAAGCTACGTACTGTTTTTGAATAAATGCATCAAACAAAGAAAGGTGCAGCTAACAGCTATAATAGATATATTAATAATAAGAAACTGATCAAATAAGAAAATGAAAAATAAATTGATTTAAAAATAATGAAAATAATATAATAATAACAGTGGATATATGAATCAGAAAGTATTATACAGATGCAGATATTCTTTATTGTCATTCGCACCACATGTGGTACATGTGGTGGATCAAAATTATGTTCACAGGGTCCCAGTTACATCCAACAATAAAATGTAAAATAAAAACAGTAATAAGATCTAAGATATGACCTAAGAAAAACATCAACTAAAAATATGCTAAGCACTAATATTATAAAAACAATAAACACAATACGCGAACAGCAGCACGGACATGAGTCTGTGTGAACAGACGAGCATGCATGAACACAGCAACATGAAACAGATCAGCAGCAACATGAAACTGATCAGCAGCAACATGAAACTGATCAGCAGCAACATGAAACTGATCAGCAGCAACATGAAACTGATCAGCAGCAACATGATGTGATTCTTCACAGTGTTATATATTCATAAGGCTGCACAAACTCAAGTTCATGTTGCTGTTTGACGTATTGTTTTGATTGTTTACTGCTATTAGTGCTTAGTGTTTTATTAGTAGATGTTTTTAGTTGATATTTTTCTTAATTCATATCTTAGATCTTATTACTGTTTTTCTTTTACATTTTGTTGTCTGTAACTGGGACCCTGTGTACAAAGTACATAACTTCATCCCAATTCAGTATTTATTCAACATTTTATTTTTTTTACTTTAAAAATAAAATAAAATCAAGTCCTTATCGGTACAAATAAAATGATGTGGAACATGTTGCATCTGTTCTTACCGAGCACAGAAGCTGCAGCGTTGTGCTGCTCTGTGAGGTGCAGCTGGGCTGTGATGGAGCTCTGTCAGGTGTAGACTCCTCTGATGGAGCAGGAGCAGGAGCCGGGAGGCTTGGAGGGTTTAATGGGGAGTTTAGAGACGAACTGTCACACGCTGAAATATGTTCTGGATAAAATACAGTGAGAAACGGGAACGGAGGACAGTTAGCGTTTATGCAAATTAGCTTAGCATCGTAGCACTGATGTTGTCCTATTATGGCGTCAGCCTCTTTTGTTAGTTAAAAATATGTTCAGAACCGATGGGATGAGTAACTTAAAATATGTTTAAAGTTAGAAAACACTCACCATCTTCTATAAATGATTCAAGTAGAGCTGTAACCGTGTCCAAACCACCCTCCAATCCTCCATCTAGCTCGCTTTGACTTTTTTCGTCGGCCACCAAGCACAACAAGACCTGCACTTCTGCATTTGACCACGGCTTTGATATTATTGTTTTTGTATAGCTTCAAAATACTAAAAGATGCACTCCTCGTGTTATCGCTAATGGCAAGCAGTAGAGAAAAAATGGTGGATCGGGTTGTTTGGAAAGACTCCACAGACTCCTCCCCCCGACCAATCAGTGACCGACAGAGTTTCTGACGTCACGGCGCGGCTCGCTTGGACCCCTTGAGAAGCCGGGCCAGAATTTAGGGAGGCGAGCCGGTCACAGGAACAGTGGAAAGACCTCAAACGCGCGTGAAGCCAGAAATATCCGACCCGCGCCGTGACAGTGGAAAAGGGACATAAGTCTATAAAACTAACTTTTCTGGTCTAGGAAGTTAGAGCAGGTCAGCGTTTCAGACGGATAAGGGCATTGATATGTGTATGATCTTGTAAGTGCATTGATCTTCAATGCACTTGAATCCACAGCTAGCTATTGCTAGCTGTGGATCTCAGGCCTCATCTCAGACCCCAGGCCCGCCTCCAGCTCATGCGGCTCCCGGCTTGGACCCCCTCAGAAGTAGTAACTCACACAATCTCAATAAATCAAGGAAACATTAATTGGTTTCACCAATTGTATTAAATCAAGACAGGAGAATATTATAGTTTTACAGCTCTGTCCTCTCCTATACAATACGACACAAGAGCTTAGACCGGAAGGGGCGAATGACACATTGTCTTCCAACTATATGGGGCCTAGGCGCCACCTTCTTCTGGGAGCACTGCCTATCAAGTGGATAGAGGGGCAAACTATTTGTGATCTCAATGGATCTTATGTGGTCTGACATGTCAAGAAAAATGATACAGTGCACAAAGCCTCTCTTGTGTGATGTGGCAAGCCAATAAAGAAATAACAAATAAATAAACTCTATTCTTTTACGGATATTGAATCCCTGGGAGACTTTTCAGAGTTGCTGGCCCCGTTTAAACTGGTCAGAACCGGGTCATAATTTCATTACAATCCACCTCTGAGCAGAACAAAAACCCAGGGTCAGTCTAGATAAAATACTAACACTTCAAACATCTGTTAAGTTCATGGGAAAAACAAATGCAGACATGTTCCTGCTTTTAGTTTTCTACATCGTCTTACAACCTAGCTGTTTTTGGTTACCTTTTTTTTTATTACCATTATTATT